ATATTGAGCAACATTGTGGAAAGTTCTTGAAGCAGTAACTGTTAAACACATAAAAAACTTTGCAAGCCAAATGGCAGAACCTATTGAAACAGAGAAACGACAGGACAAATCAAAATGTTAAACTCATACTACTACTCAGGCAGATACTTATGCAGTGAAAGTTTTCCATTAGAATGATTTGCCTGCAGCAACATATTAAACTCACCAATGAGGAATTCTGAGGCCCAGGTTCCAAATATATAGAAATTCAAAGGCAGAGCAACTACTGTACATTTAAGTATGCAGGGCCTTTAGGCCAAATTTTTCTAACGTGGTTGCCTGCAGTTTGGCTGCTACTGGAAATGGTATTTATGCCACATGTCCCATAGGAAAGGGACTTGATTTTCCAATGTGCTGAGCACCTATAGCTCCTATTGACATCAGCGGAAGCCCCTCTGTCAACTAACCCACTTTTAAAAGAAAAATTAAGGGTCCACATTTGAAAACATGCCTTAACAGCCACTCAGATGCCTTGGTGGTGGGCACAGCACAGGACCCTAGAAAGATTAGATACCTCTCCCCCATATTATACTAAATGGATTCAGTCTATTGGTGAACGAGCACAGACATGCATAATCGACTATAAAATGACAGTAGCCATAGGTTCATTGCAGAAGAGAACCACGTTAATTTTTTTGCAAAGAAAGGAGAGGAGGTGGGTAGCTCATCGTCTGCTGCAGGTATTACTGATAGCTTCACATTTTGAGCCAGCTCTTCAGCTGGCATAAATGGTCATAGCATCATCGACTTCAATTGAACCATTCACGTCAGCTGAGGTTGTGGCGTTTTCACTCACAGAAGCAGGGAAAAAAAACAAAAACCCAGACATGCCCCTGATTTCCTCACAGAATTAACTGTTCAGGCAACGGTTCTTCCCACACTTCATGAGAAGCGCCACAACTTTGGGGATGCCTTTGTATGTGTCAAGTCACCCTAATGCAGCCAGCAAAGTAACTCGGCTACAATATTTTCACCCTCCTTCCCTAATCCCTAACTGATAATTTAGCTCCCATTTCCTTGATCAAACATATTGTCTTTGCCTGAAACTCTTAAAATAACTGAACGGATCAAGAAGAAATGCCTCATGCTGGCCTCCATCTCCTACTAAGGAGAAGGAATGCTGCAATCTGCTCTATTTTATGGAAGTTGGGCTTCCTAGCAAGTTGCCAATTTAGCTGCCCAGCAAAATTTAGATGCTCTGTCTTCAGTTGCATATAACTTAGTTTATCCAGATTCCTCCAACATTTCCTCCCTGCCTTGATTCAGCTGTCCGTTTCCTTTTCCCGTACCACTCGCTCCCCTACTTACAATTTTCAGCAGCACCACCCATACTCATTCCTTTGTTCTCTTCTTTCAAAACCAACCCTTTCATTTCTAATCCAATCCCACTTCACACCAGCTGGGTTTCTCTTCTGCTGGAGCCTAACATTCCGATCTGCAAGGCTTTTTTAGAACCACAGCACTTACAGTAGTCAGAAGCCCTTTCCCTTCCATTAACTCCTAGTTACTTTTGTTAGTGACATGGCAATCCACACTCCGTCACATTAATTACCCAATATACAGTCCATCATTACAGGACATATTATGTTTCCCACTGTAGACAACATAATGAATGTGCTGGAGGAGCTTTCTATTTCCAATCTAAACATCTAAAACTTTTCCCAAGCCCAGCTTTACTTAAACAACATCAAGGTCCTTTGGTGAAAGTGTAACCCACACACCTCCTGGGTGTGGTACTCTGTCCCATCTAGTGGCACTGAGACCACTTAGAGAGAGATTAATGAGTCTGCTCTACACCCTTAGCTAAGAGCCATGTGGCTTTTAGCTCATGCATTTAGCACCAGAGATTCCAGGTTCGATCCCGCCCGGGGTCTGTCGGTGTTACAAAAGCTCTTTGGAATTCTTCAGCAATGGGAGACACTATTATAAATAAAAAGAGCCACCAAATCTCTTAATAACTTCATGGAGTTATCCTCACAAACCCCCTGTAAGGTAGGGAAATGTTGTTATCCTCATTTATGGATTTGGAACAGAGGCACAGAAGCTAAGTGATGTGCCCGGAGACACACAGGATGTTTGTGGTGGAACAGGAATCGAACCCAGGTCTCTCACAGCCCAGACTAATACTATAAGCACTGGACCGTCCATCCTCTCTCCATGTTATGTGGCCATGCATTTCATAGAGCACAAGGTCCAACAACACACAGACTGTGCATCCATTATACCGTTTATCTTTCATGGTCAAAAAGATCACCACAGGGTCCTCAAGCTACAGGAACATTGTTTAAAAATAAACAAAAACACACCAAACAAATCTCTATCATAATTTAAAAACTAAATAGAAAAGCTCATCAAGAGATGTTCATGTAGCAGAAGGGAAACATCTTCTACACCACTGGTCCCCAAGCTGTGGGGCACTCCCCACTATGGGGACACAGAGGTATGTTTGGGGGGCTGCAGCAGGGCCTGGGCCAGCCCCCATGGGGGGCAGGGAGAGAGCACCACCCACCCCACTCTGCCCCCCAACTCCACACTGGCCCCAGCTGCAGCTTTGGCTCCTGGCCAGCACCACAGCCCCGGCCCTGCTCCCAGGCCCAATCCCGGCCCCCTGCTGCAGCTCCCAACTGACTCCTGGGGAGGCGTGGACAGATTCCATTACTGGTAAAGGGGGGGGGGGGAGAATGCGACAGAAAAAGTTTGGGGACCACTGTTCTACACAATGTTTGACACCTAAAACATCTGGATTCTGTAACCATGGCATTAGGACTGGTCAAAAATTTTCTGTCAAAAAAATTTTTCAATGAAAAACCTGGATTTTCTACAAAACACTTTTCTTAAGAAGTGTCTGCTTTCATTGAAAGACCAAATGCACAAGAACTGAACAGTTCTCAGCCAAAACCAAAAGTCTGGCTGAAAAAAAAAACTATACTTAGATTTGGAAATGCCACCAAAGTGGCTTGTGGTTATTGTATTTCAGATGACTCATGCTCCCATTCTCCTCCATGGACTGGATTTCCAACTTGGATTATATCTCCCATGATGCATCCCATCATCTCTGAGATGAGGCTGTGGTGCATCATGGGAGATTAAGTTAAACCGGGGAGCCTTGTTTATGACAGGGTAAAGGGAGCAGGTGGCACCCAAACTATAACTACCATGGCATTTCCAAATCTAAATATTTTCGGTTTCGGCCAAAATATTTGGTTTTCAATTTTCCCCCTTCAACAATTTTAAATATTCTGGTGTGTGTGGGGGGGTGGGGGGCAAGGTAGAAGAACCTTTTCCATCTCATTTGCAGGAACTGGCAGCTGAGGGCTTGGCTACACCAGAGATTTTTGCACCAATGCAGCTATACTCTAGCATAGATGATTCTGCATTGGTATAAAAGTGGCTTGAGCCACTGCAATTTATCCCAATCGGAACCTTTGAACACTAGTGCAATGCATCTGCCCCAAGGGTTTGTACCAGGGCTGCTACATCTGTGCAAAAATCCCAGTGTAGACAGGCCCTAAATTCTCCACTGACTATGAAATTAAAGTGAATGGCCTTTCTCCCAATTTTTAATACATAATAAGATGTGGAATTTAGGAAGACTCTTTATCTTCAAAATGTGTTATGATCGACTTAACTCTTTAGTCTTTATTGCCTTCCTGGGAAGAAGGTCTGATCTCCCCTGTGTGGATTAAGAAACTGAGCCACATAGGGGTTGAAGGACATGAGCAAAGCCAGAGGTAATTAGGGACAAAGTGTTAATTAGAATTGAATTTCGATGTTAGGCCGTACACAGTAGGAGATATTAGGTTTCAGGAATTTTAGATGAAATAGAATTTAAAATTATTGTTTTAGACACACACGTTTAGGACCAAGACGACCGTCGTAAATATTCAGAAAGTAGCTGTTTGAGTGGTATGCAGAAAGGAGGTTCTTTAATAGCGACTTCATTATTTGGCCAGAATGGGCCAGATTCTAAGCTGGTGCAAATCAGCACAGATCTACTGAAGTTACTCTAGCTATGTCAATTTGCACCTGCTGAGAATCCAGTCCATAAGCGTAATTCATCTGCCTCACCTCGCCCAAGAGGCATGCCATACACACACACACACACACACACACACACACACACACACACACACACACACACACACACTCTCACAAAATATATAGTATTTCATTATTTAAAGATATAAG